GAATGTGTGATCCAAAATAGATGTTCATTGATGTTAAGATTAAATTTTTACCAGGAAAGAAAATGTAACAAGCTTTTAAGACAACAAAATTATTAATTTTATAATTATAACAAAAAGTTAAAGATAAAATATAAAATTACAAAATATAAGTTCATAATCTTGAGATTAATTTTTTAGAGAAAATAAATTGTAACAAGCTTTAAGACATCAAATATGTTTAACCAAACTAAATCATTAATTTTTAAAATAAAACAATTTTTAAACAAAATATATAATTATGAATTTTTGGATTGTATACCAAAAAATATGACACAAATGATAGTGGTTTGGAAGCTTTTAGGAAAAAAACTCAAAAAATAAATAAATAAATAAATAAATAAATAAATAAAATCGTTTGGCATATGCTCAAATGGCCTCCTAATCATTTTGTTTTAATACTCAACTAGCGAATACATGTGGGTTGCGTTATAATCTAATAAAATATTTTGTTGTCATGAATTATGAAATAATAATTTTACTATAAAGTAGATATAAGATATATTAAATATTTTAAATATGTGATAATATAAAAATATATTAAAACTATATCATCTTAATTGCCTTTATATGCGGGTTATGCATGAAAATAGTTAAATTATATTTTTATTTGTTATTATCTTTTAGCTATTATTAAAATTATTTAGTTGCGATAAATATTTTATACTCTTATCATCACAATACTATATATATATATATATATATATATATATATATATATATATATAATATACACACACACACACACATATATGTGTGTATGCACGCGTGTGTGAATGGAAATAAAACTAAATGCATGTTTTCCGATATTATTTTTAACTATTATTATTGTTAATTATTTTAAAAAAATTATTGGATTTTTTTTGTGATTATTGTTCCAAATATAAATGTCGTATTCAAAATAATGTAATATAGTTTTTAATTTTTAATCTACTTGTTAATGTTAATTAACTCAAAAACTATTAATTTGTGAAAATATCATTATTGCAGAAAATAGTTTGTAGTTAACCTTTTAATTAATTTGACATTTTGATTTATGTTTTACATTTTTTTTGAACGGCAAATACAATATAATCCTAAACTACTCTTAAATCCATCTATATCTCCGACGAGACTTGAACCCTCAACCTCAAGAGGAGGGCAACACCTGATACCGCTGAGCTAGAAACGTGTTGGTATGTTTTACATTTAACCATTTATTATTATTTTTTTGTAAATATTTAAAAATAGTCTTTCAACCATTTTTCATGCTTATTTGACATAAATCAATAGGTTTTAAATATATTTTATTTTGAAAGTTGATAAGTTAGCACTAATTTAAAATTAGAAATGACTAAAATCAAATGAATGATGATTAATTAGCTGAAATTTGAAAAATGGTTTAAGTTTCAAGTCAATATGTTGTAAGAAATCAATAGTGTAAATAAATTTTGTGTTGGATTAGAAGATTTGGAATTAAAGTTGAAATTAGAAATGAGTTTAATTATTAAAAATGAAATTAAAAATAGTTAATTAGTTGGAAGTTGATGAGTTGTATAAGTTTCAAATCAATAAACCATCAAATCAATAAATGAGTTAAATATACTAAAAATCAAATTAATGATTGTTAATAAGTTGGAATCTAAAAAGTTAATATGTTTCAAATCAATATGTATGTGAAATCAATAACTTAAATATATATTTTTTTTGTGAAAAATGAAAACAAGACACTTTATTTAAAATTACAAATGAGTTTAATGTCTTCAATTAAATCACTGATAGTTAATTAGTTGCAAATTGATGAGTTGTATAAGTTTCAAATCAATATGATGCAATATTTAAAATTACATGTCATATTTTTTAATGCCGGTTGGTAAATTATGTATGCAAATATTAATGTTTTCAATAATTAATTATTTACATAATCAAATATCAATATTCACGACAATTGATACTCACCAAAACTATCTTCGACCATTCGTTTTGTTATAACTAATTATCTATTTTTTAAGTATTTATCTTAAATCATACAAACACCTTTTACAACTTTCATAGATCTAAACACCCTTTACCATTTTGGTTTTGTTATAACATAAATTCAAACACCCTTAATATTTACAACACCAAACAAATATAAACAATAGTTATATAAAGTTATAACTTAGGAGAAAAAACTAATATTTTTTAACTATTTATCTTAAATCTGTTAAAAACTAAAGAGATAAATACTTAGGAGAAAAAACGTGAACATAAAATGTTAGCAACCTTTCATAAACACATTACATAAACACTTAGGACAAGAAACCCTTTAACAAACCAAGAACTAAAGAGAGAAATATATAATCTAAAGTCACACTTTATATAATATGTTTGATGTTAAAGCAATTAAAAATAGTTATTAAAAGACAATGGAAAAACATGGTGGGGGGGGGGGGTCAAATGAATATGGAGCTTGGAAATAATCAAATTGTTTTCAATTTTGAGTAAGTGTGTCAGGTGGTGATGAGGTCATTCTTCATAGTGTCAATAGGGTGTTGAGTGGACGTCGTTTATTGTGGATTTTTCGAATGCCTTCAATCTGGTGGATAGATTTGCCTTACTTCATGAGGTCAGGATGAGGTGCTCTTCCATTTCTTTGTGGGTCGAATTCTTATATGGACAGACAGCAAGGTTGTATTTGGGAGATAAGCATATTTGGTCCACTACTAGAGTTCAACAAGGCAACCCTTTGTGACCACTTCTTTTTCCTCTTGTATTGCACCCACTTGTACATCAGATTAGAGACGATTGCAAAATTCTTCTTCATGCTTGGTATCTTGATGATGGGACCGTCGTCGGAGATTTAGAGGAGGTAGCCATAATATTGGACATCATTAGGGTGGCAGATCCTAGATTGGGTCTTGAACCGAATATCAAGAAAATTGAGCTATTTTAGCATTCATGTGATGGTAGGAAGCTTCGTGCGGGTTTATTCCCTGCTGACATTGGACAATCGTTATTGGGGGTGAAGCTTCTTGGGGGAGCCGTTAGTAGATATGTGAGTTTTATTAGCGGTTAGCCATAAAGAGGGCTACCAAGGCTGTTGATTTGATGCGTCTTCTTCCACAGTTACATGACCCCCAGAGTGAGCTCCTTTTGTTTCGATCTTGCATGGGCATCGCCAAACTTTTTTTTTGGCGTGAGGACGTGCTAACCCGTTCACATGGAGGATGCAACCTTGTATTTTGATAAAGGGTTACGTGTGTCGATTGAGGACATTATGGTTGGTGGGGGGTCCTTTATTTGGGGACATTAAATGTCGACTTGCTTCATTACCAATTAGGTTTGGTGGTTTGGGGCTATACTCAGCGGTAAAGGCTTCATCTTATGATTTTGTGGCCTCACGAGCTCAATCGTGGGTGTTACAAGACCACATCTTATGAGATAACGAAATATGTGGTATGGATTCTAATTTTGTGTGTGCTTTGGATTGTCTGCGTGATACGATTTCGGGCTTTGACTTCAACGATTTCACTAATAAGGACCCCTAGATCTATGAATACTGTTTTTTAGTTGAGTGCATAGTAATGTTATGACCCCTAGATCTATGAATACTGTTTTTTAAAAGAATTAGTTTTGCTATCCAAAAAAGGGGTTGCGACACAACTTGTTGTTCGTTTACCCGCCACGTCTATGTAAAACTTTTATTTTTATTCTACCAATTTGATAAATATAATTATGTTATAATTTAAATAAAAAATATGTTATTTTACATATAATTTAACATTGTATTAAGATAAATTACATAATTAGCTAATGACATATATGACCATTCAAACTAAATCATATAGTGCGATATACACGGATTAGTGGATTGGCAGATGAGATCCAGATGGTCATGGTATTGAAGGTATCTCCAAGATCATGATTTCTTGCATTGTGAGTTGGTACTAGATGAAAGTTGGGAGGGTTCAACTTCTCCTTGAACCCGTTCATCTCTTTCCGATACACCATCAACTTATGTCATATGTTTCAATATTGTATTTAATGGAATGAGCTGAAAGAGATGAATTATTTGTGTTCAGGTTGAAAAGGATAAAAATAAGAAGAAAAATAAAAACTGATATGATGGAAAAACCAACAAAAATATACACTCTCCACCCTTAAAATGATACCTAAAAAGAAATATCTTCAACGAAATAATCAAACTAATTTATGTCTTTAAACTATAAAGAAACAAATGGAAAGGTAAAAGACAAAAACTGACCTTGATGCAGTTAAAAGCCAGTTACCGCGTTCCTATTATTCATTGAGGGGTAGATACATTGAACATATAAAACGGGTAAGATGCAAGCATCAGAAAGATGCAAAACAACCCCACCACAGTACCAAAGTTTTTATTTATTTTTTATTTGATATATTTCCTTCGTTTTTAATTATTATGTAATGATCTGCTTGATATGCTCAATAACCTAAAATATTAATTTGTTTAAACCATTATTGATCCCTTGAAGCAATGTATTTGATCCCCTAGCTAGGCAATGACACCTATTTTTTGTAAGTTGTGTTTTGTTGCTAACAAAGTATTATTATTATTATTATTATTATTATTATTATTATTATTTATGTTTTTGTCTTAAAAATTATTAGAATATACTATAGTTATTATTTTGTTTAATAATAACTCATTTATTATTGTTAAATTATTTTATAATTATTTATTGGTAACAAGGATAAGCTCTACCCAGTACCCACCTTATCTCAAGGTCAAAATTTTAATTATATTAAAAAGTCAACTGACTGAAGTTTTATTTTAATTACTTATGGATGTCTAGTCTCATAGTTATTTGATCAAGATGAATCAAATGGGTTTTTTAACGAGGAATTGATGAGGTTCAGAATACATAATAATAAAATTAAAAGATTTACAACAAAGTATTATATTATATTTTATTATAAAAATATCCATTTATTTTTTCAATCTAGACAACGTTGGAAGTTAACTAATAATGCAAGTTTCACTCCCTGAGCACTACTCAAATTGTTTATATATACAAGCTTTCTATTCACACATGGATGCATATTCCCTGCATCTTTTTTCCAATTTCTCTCACAAAAATGTCTCAGGGAGGAGTGCGCCGCCACCAAAGGAGGCTATCTCAGTCGGTTTTCGACTTCCCGGACGACGTTCTGCAACCACCTCCCGTGGCGGACAATGACAGTTCCGACAAGGTTGGTTTCACTTTCACATCTGCTTGTGCTTTAATTCAACTTGATTCAGATCTCGTTTTCATATTGCTTAATACTTATGCTCCCCTGTTTACCATTTTCGTAATGCAAAACGATCTGGTCACTTATAAAAAGGTTTCTTGTTTTGGAAGCTAGATTCTATATACAATTCAGATTTATAAAGTCATCTTCGATTTTCCATAGAGGATAAATTTGTTCGATTTTATCACACTACATAGACTATAAAAAGGAGTGTACGTTCATCGATTACATACACTAGTGCTCACCGGAACGCCGTGGGCGGTGGTGGTTATTCAAATTCTGCAATTGGCTCTCGGTTTACGTTCCGGTGGAAGTACAATGAGATCGCCTCAGGGGTCCTTGTGATGGTCGTTGTTTAAAAGTCGTACATTAAAAAAAGTAGTCTTGTAGGTAGTGTTACGTGGCTCGATTCCAATCACTCATTTAGATCATGTTTGTTTGTTAGGTAGGAAAGTAAAAACTTCATTTAAAAAAAATACAGTTTTACTTGTGTATTTATATATACAAATATATTGATTCATTAAAATTGCTATTTACAGGAATTGAGGAATGCAAACTCGGCGTCTAAGGTACCAGAACAACAACATAGTACACGTCCAACGTTAGACGCTTCCACACATTTGAAAGAGAAAGGTGTAGCTTCTTCCTTACCACCAACGTCACAAAAGAAGTCGTAACGCTAGCTGGAAAATACACATGCTAGCTAGCTTAAGTTGGGAAATTAAAAGTGTGTAACAAATGGTCTCTTTCTCTAGCTTCTTGTTACTTTTATTTCGTGTTGTAGTGTCATGTTAATTTCTAGTTCGATGATGTGAAATAAAGTATCGTATTGGCAACCACAATTTTCGTTTCATATAAAGTACCCATTTAAGGTGGCAAAAGGCCCACTATTTAAGTACAAATTAGTAATAGATTGTTTTATACTAAAACTTTAAACATCTCTATTTGTTATGGAGATTGGAATCCATATTTTGACGCCATATACTACTGGATGTTGATTTTGTGACAACGATCAGATTAAAAACATTTGTCATGGTTATTAGTGGTGAAGGAGTCACTAAGCTTCCCCAATGAACCGTCTCTCTCTTAACCTTAGAGGTGCGGGTGATTCTCGCATAGCGGAGTGGGTTCGTAAAATTAAAATGCTGTACCAGATTAATTTTATTGGATGTCAAGAAACTCAAATTGTTAACGAGTTTGGGATTCGGATCGAGGCAATTCTGGGACAACTCTAACTTTGATTATGTGGTTGTTGAGTCAAGAGGTAGATCGGGTGGGCTTCTTTGTATATGGAACCCTTTTATGTTCAAGGTAATTGATATTATCAAAGGTAGACACTTTATCCTTATTTCGGAAACATGGTGTGGAGTCAATTAGAAAAAACCAACTTTGTCAATGTATACATTCCTACTGATGGTGAATACAGACTCGTGTTGTGGAATGACTTACCACATATCAAATCTGATAGAGATGGAGCTTGGATTTACATGAGAGATTTTAACGATGCAAGACAAAGAGATGATGGGTTTTCGAAAATGGTGTGTATTCCAAGCATGGAGGCGTTCAATTCATTTACAGATAAGCATGAATAATGAAGTTTAATCTTATAGAGGTAGAAGATTCACTTGGATGGGCCCGGATGGAAGAAGTCTAAGTAAAATTGACCGTTTCTTTGCTTGCAACAACTTCTTGGCCAGATGGGTAAATGCCTCTGTGACTACTCTCCCCATTTTGTATTCTGATCATTGCCGTCTCATTCTTGTTTCCAGCTTCCATGACTATAGTCCTTGCCTATTTAGGTTTTAGAACTCATGGTTATTATCTGATAAATTATGTCATTTGGTTTCAAACTCTTGGGTAGAAAGTAGTATTGGGTCCGTACTACTGGAATCATGTGATTCGTACTCGAATCGAGAAAAATCACGGGGATTCTAAGGAGCTGGTTGAGGGCAGACAACATGGTTTTCCACCATGATTCATTGCAACGTGTTTCCGTCTCTATCGGCCTTTCGGTTATGGTTTTTCATTCTGAGGATGAGGCTGGTAATTGTTCGAGCCTTAGTGGTCGTGGCAGTTTTGGGTCTGAATGGTGCAGACCTATTAAAAATCTTGATCTAAAACAAAAGGATCGTGTTAAATGGGACGTCAAGGGAGACAAAAATAACAAAAAATTTCATGGCTTGATTAATGGAAGGAGGAAAAAAATGCAAAATTAATGGGCTTACAGTAAATGGGAGCTGAAATACTGATCCAGACTGCATAAAAAATGAGATTTGGAATTTTTTTTTATGAAAAATTTAACGAGACGATTCCTGCTAGACTTAAGCTTATTAGTCTGAAATTTTTGAAGTTATATTAGTCTGATCGTGATAACTTGGGAGGAGCGTTCACTATGGAGGAATTTAAGATGGTTGTGTGGTGTTGTGGCAACGCCAAGACTCTGAGATCCAATAGCTTAACTTTCTAGTTTATAAAAGAGTATTAGGATGTTATTAAAGATGACATGCTTGTTTTCATTAAAAATTTCGAGGTGACGGGGAGGATTAGTAAGGGATGTAATGCCTCCTTTATATTTCTTATTCCAAAATGCAACGACCCTCTCTTTTTAAAAGACTACAGACCGGTAAATTTAATCAGTTGCATGTATAAGATTCTTTCCAAAGCGCTCTCTTTGAGACTTAAAAAAATCATTGGTAAAGTAGTTGGCCCAGAGCAGTCGACGTACATTGAAGGAAGAAGTATTCTCGATGACCCTCTCATTTTAAATGAATTATATTCTTGGGCTACGAAATCTAAAAAGAAAGTCCTTATTTTCAAAGTTGACTTTGACAAAACTTTCGATTCACTTAATTGGGGATTCTTGGATTCGATAATGGAGCAAATGAACTTCGGTTTAAAATGGAGAAAATGGATCCATGTTTGTCTATCTTCCGGAAAGGCTTCCATTCTTGTCAACGGCTCCGCCACTAAGGAGTTTGACATAAAGATGGGAGTGAGATAAAGCCTATCTTCCTTCCTTTTTGTTATTTACATGGAGGGTATAAGTATATCTTTGAAAGAAGCTATTGAGCAACACTACTTTCATGGTATTTCTTTACCAAACAATGGGCCTCGTTTATCTCATCTCATATATACAGATGACGAAACTTTTATTGGTGAGTGGTCTGAGGACAATCTTATCAATCTCAATAGAATTTTGAGATGTTTCCATATTGCTTCCAGTTTGACAGTGACCCTTCACAAAAGTAAAGTTTTTGGAGTCGGGGTTGAAAACATTGAGCTTCGTCGTCTTTCTAAATATCCTTTGTTGTGAGCCCGCTAGTTTTCCTTTTACATACCTCGGGCTTCCTATTGGAGCCAACATGAGGCTTGCCAAGAATTGGAAACCCATCGTTGAGAAGTTTAAAACAAAAAAGTTTGAAACAAAACTTTCGAATTGGAAAGCGAGAACCCTTTACTTTGGTGGGAGACTTACCCTTGTTAAGCCCGTTTTGGGTAGTCTCCCGCTTTTTTATTTCTCGTTGTTCAAAGCTCCAAAAAAAATTATCGATACTTTAGAGGGTATTAGATGGAAATTGCTTTGGGGAGGTAAAGATAATAATAATAAAATTCATTGAATTGCTTGGATTAGTTTGGTTACACCTGAAAACAAAGGCGGTATTGGTATTGGGTATCTTAGAACCATAATTGTGGCTTTACTTGCCAAGTAGCTGTGGCATTTAAAATGTGAATACAAAAGTCTTTGGTCGTCGTGTATAACATATTTTCATAACATTTTTGGTATTGATGGTAAACCGTCAGCAAAATGTGGGCTTCCGGGGATTTGGTTCTCAATTTCTAAAGTTGAGGTGAAGCTTGAAGAGTGAAACATTTATTTTAACAACCTTCTTGAAAGGAAGATTGGAGGAGGAGATAACACACACTTCTGGAAGGATCGTTGGATTGATAATAGAGCCCTTAAGGATGTTTTCCCGAAATTATATATGATTGAGACACAAACAAATTGTAAAATTGCTGAAAGAATTCATAATCCTGGAGCCGTTGGACAATGGTGTTGGAAAAGAAACCTAAGAAATGGTGATGAGACCACTCAATTACACGCACTTAACAGGTTGGTCGTTGGGATGAGGCTGTCGATGGATCCTGATTCGTGGAGCTGGAAAAATGATTTTAATGGAAATTTTTATATTAGATCGCTAAGGAAGTCGATGGATAATGCTAGAATTGTTGATGTGTCTATTAACCAAATACTTTCCCATGAAACATATTGCCTTTCATTAAACATATATATATACCGGAATTACAACAGATGGGCCGAATGTTACTCAATATGGGCTACACAAAATAACATCAATGCATATATAGAGAGATATGCTAACAACCCCCATAGTTTGAACATGAGTAACATTACGGATATTAAAAACTGGACAGAAAATCCAAAAATAATGTCGAGGGAAGACTCTTTGTGAAAATGTTAGCATATTGAGATTTGGAGGGAACATGAAGAACACGCAAATGAATAGCGGCGACTTTGTCTTGAACAAAATGAAGACATGTCTCAATTTGCTTAGTACGTTGATGTTAAACCGGATTGGAAGACATGTATATCACACTGATATTGTCACAATAAATAGTACTAGCGCGATGCGGTGAGTAGTGTAGCTCAAGGTGGAGATTGAGTATCCAACAAGTCTCAGCTACTGCATTACCAACTCTTCTATATTCGCTTCAGCACTAGAGCGAGAGATCGTGTTCTGTCGTTTAGAAGACCAAAATAACCGATTGTGTCTTAAGAAAACACAATACCCAGATGTAGAACGACAAGATACCAGACATCCTGCCTAATCGGCGTCAGAGTAAGCAATAATATCTCAATTGGGAGAGATAAAAATTGGAAGACCATGATCAGAAGTACCGTAAATGTATATGAGAATGCGCTTGAGAGGTGAAGTGAGGCTCTCTAGGATCATTCATCTAGAGACAGATTTGTTGAATAGCATATGCAATGTAGACAAGTCAGCTGGAGTGGAGGCAGTTTTACAATTGATCATGGAAGCATGAGCCAATATTTCACTAGCATATTTTTGTTGAGATAAAAAACAAACCATCAACAGTTCTGGTAGCAGAGATACCCAATAAATAATGTAAATCGCCAAGATCCGTCATAGCAAATTTAGATCCAAGAATCGAGATAATGTGTGACAAAAATTGAGGAGAGGATCCAGTGAGAACAATATCATCTATGTAAAGGAGTAAATAAGCAGTGTGTTGGCCATGTCTATAGATAAATAAAGAAGAATAACACTTGCTGTTAGTAAACCTAATGTGAGTAATAAACACAGTAAAACAATGGAACCAAGTGTACAGATCCTGTTTGAGACCATATAACGATCATCGTAGTAAACATACATGATCAGGTTTAGAAGAATCATAAAAACCTGGTGGCTCTTGCATATAAACTGTCTCATGTAGATGGTCGTGAAGGAAAGAATTCTTCACATCAAGCTGATGAATGAGCCACTTATGAGTAACAACAATGCTCAAAATTGTAAGAATAGTGGTTGGTTTGACAACAGGGCTAAATTTCTCTTCACTAGTTAATACCAGGTCTCTGAGTACGATAGTTAGCAACAAGTCTAGCTTTGTAGCGAGCTAGAGAACCATCCGCATGAAGTTTCTTTTTTAAAAGCCAGATGAAATTAATGAGATTAACATTAGGTGGGCACAGAACTAGAATCTAGGTATTGTTCGAAATAAGGGCAGAGAATTCCTCTTGCATTGCTTTACACCAGTGAGAATCCTGAAACGCCTGTAAGTAGGTACGAAGAGTTGAAGAGGAAGTGTCAACGT